CCTCCCAATGGGTCCAGCCACCCACTTTCCGTAAACTGCTTCCCCTCCTTCCCTGCTGAGGTGAGGAAGTCTGCCAATGGTAAAACACTGATGTAACACAAGTTACATAGTAATACATACTCCACCTTGTGTTCTCTTTCCACATATGATTTCTCTTTAAATTCCCTATATTTAACCTGTCACTAAAACGTATTAACTGAAAGCTTGCTTGATAAATCCTCAAAGCAAGCAGGATTAAGAGATCTATTTATCCTATTTATTACACCTATTGTTATAGATTTTGATCTCATGCTGCCTCTGTATTTTGAAGTCATAACTGACCCACACACACGTAGTCTCGCTGGAGCAAATCCAAGGAGAAAAAAGCTGTTTTGTATTGATTACAGAGCAAGTCCATAAGTAAAGAATCCTAATTTCTGATGTAGAAGAATTCCAAACAGCTGACATTTGTGTCATAATCAGTTAAGTGAAGAAATATCAGCTTGGCCTGCATGGCTCAGTGGTTGGGCACCAACCTATGAACTAAGAGGTTAAGGTTTCATTCCTGGTCAGGGCATATGCCCAGGTTGCAGGCTTGATCCCCAGTAGGGGGCGTGCAGGAGGCAGTTGATCAATGAATCATTGATGTTTCCATCTCTCCCTCTCTGAAAATATATATATATATATAACCTCTTTACACACATAAAAAGAAATTAAGGCATTAGCCAGTTTGGCTCAGTAAATAGAGCATCAGCCTGTGGATTGGAGGTTCCCAGGTTCCATCCCGATCAAGAGCACATGCTTGGGTTGCAGGCTCGATCCTCAGTAGGGGGCATGTAGGAAAAAAAAAAAAAAGAAATTAAGTCTCTCACCATAAAAGGTACCCTGGGGGCAGCATACTTACTTTTAGACAGTACCAAGAAAGCCTTTATAGCCCCAGCTGGTTTGGCCCAGTGGATAGAGCGTCGGCCTGTGGACTGATGGGTCCCGGGTTCAATTCCAATCAAGGACACATGCCGGGGTTGCAGGCTCGATCCACAGTAGGAGGCGTGCAGGAGGCAGCCGATCAATGATTCTCATCATTGATGTTTCTATCTCTCATCTCCCTTCCTCTCTGAAATCAATAAAAACATTAAAAAAAAGAATGCCTTTATATTATCTCTATATTAGGTACTTTCATAAATGATACAATTTCTTTGAGAAAAAGTTAAGTATTTCCATTATTTTTAAAAGGTACATAGAGGACCCAAAGAAATCTCTAAATGAGACCACTAAATTCTTTATGTAACTATCGAAATTTCTTGGGTCAACAATTAAATCTTCTGTTAAAATAGAAAAACCCACAGCACAATTTCTATAGGATATCAGGATAGTCATAGCAATAAATCTGGCTTGATGTGAATATGGCCATTTTCACGTATTTCCCTGGAAAGAGACAAAAATGCTTAAATCCCCAAGATGGTAATAAAAAGAACTAGCAATTCGCCAAAACCGGTTTGGCTCAGTGGATAGAGCGTCGGTCTTTGGACTGAAGGGTCCCACGTTCAATTCCGGTCAGGGGCATGTACCTGGGTTGCGGGCACATCCCCAGTGGGGGGCGTGCGGGGGGCAGCTGATCGATGTTTCTCTCTCATCGATGTTTCTAACTATCTCTCTCCCTTCCTCTCTGTAAAAAATCAATAAAATATATTTTTTAAAAAAAGAACTAGCAATTCAATTGGTGCTAAGTACTAATTATCTACAACTAAATGTTAGTTTCTTTCCTTCCAGTTCAGAAATGTAACTTTAATAATTTTCTTCATTAACTAAGATCCATATGCCTTAACCCATTAAGAGGCTTGCTGTAACCCAAATTTTTATCTTTTTTTCAGGGTAGAACATTTTGTTTTGTTTTTCTGATGTTACTAGCTCATTCAATATCACACATGGGAGAATATCATGATTTACAAAACCATGGTTATCAATAATGCACAAAATAGAAAAACAGATTTCCCTGCTACTTAGGAGAAACACTGTGCTAAGCCCAGCATATGAATTTTACTGCTTCTTTTTACTGTTTTCTTTGCACACAAGCAGATGGTTGGAGCCAATTTTGGATTCTAATCCCCAGTCTCTAAGTGGGGCCTTTCATACTCAAAGAACCAAATTCTTCTACTACTAAAACGTAGTTTCCAGTTACTAGTATATTTACCCCATTATCATTCCTGTCCTTCAATGAACTGAGGTGCAGTTTACATATTAAACCATTTTAAACCACAGAAATTTGTCCAGCCCCTCTAAGCTTCTACAAAAATACTCAATTTAAACCTGAAAATCCTGCTCAGTTATTCCAAAGCCAATGTAAAGTACTATGAAACATAAAATGTAAAGTTGAACCAAAATATCACATAAAATTTAATAATTGCAAATGTATTTATTACAATGTACAGATTAAATTATATACACAAATAGAATTTTACTATAAAATCCCATCAAAATGGTTACATTTTACTCATTGGATCAGTAGAAGCCAATTCAGACGTCTTCTAGCCCCCTAAATTCACCTTCCTTAAATTATAAAAAAATAAAATCTGATAGTTTTGATTTCAAGTTAATGATGAAGAGGTGCTGTTATTACACGCAAAAAGGGAAATTTTACCTGTCTGTACGAAGCCTTTCACATGCTACATTGATAGTTAAAGCACCATTGCAAGACTTTAAATGCAGTGTTCGATTAGAATTCCCAAGGATTTTTGTTTTAAGATGGTGGTCTAACTTCGTTTCAACAACTAGGATTGGAATGAAACTAACAAGAATTGTTTTTCTCCTTCAATCCAACTTAAACATGATCCCTTCTGTCCTTCTCACCACCCTCTGGTCACTTCTTTTAAAGGAGGGAAGTAAAAGGGAGAATTGTTAACCACGTTGTTACTTATTTGGTAGTGAGGTTGAGGTTGGAATTCCAAGAGAACAATCTCCCGCAATCCAGTTAATGTAAAATAGCGTTCTTTCCGTATCGGCAGAGGTGCTAGACTTCGGGAGCACAAAACACAACCTAAATCTGACATAAGGTAGTATACTTCATTCCGGTTTTAAAGAATGCATATGCATTTTCAACAAGCTTTTTTCAGGGCAAATAATGCCTTCTTTCCACCTGACACAGCTGGTGCCTGGAACCAACCTACTTTCATGGTGCTTCCCATTCCCTATGACTACCTAACGCGGGGGAGCACAAAACACCTTGACAAGAATCTGACCATATGTTGCTGCACTCTCCATGTGTTTATGTGAATATATATATAAACACTAGAGGCAGTTCTTGGAGTAAACCAGATAGAAATAAAATAATGACCAAGTAGATTATTAACTGAGGTAGTAACCCTGCAAGCACTTCTAATGAAACATCATCCCTACACTGAAACTAGTTCAAAATTAAGAGGTCATCTATTCTACTTACGTTTTCCATGACGAGAGGCACGTGGAGTAACAACTGACCGTTAAGGAGTTGGTTAGCACTCCCTCAACCTAACAGGTGCACACCAGGTGGAGCTACCTAAATGAACCAAGCACAACCAGTCACTGCAAAAACTTGGATTCAAAAGCAAATTTTGGGCTAGAGATATTAAGACTTCCTGGTTGTTAAATCTATAGTCCTTTCCTTTCCTGAACATATAGCCCCTGCTTCTCTCATTATTCCTTCTCTCCTTATTAAAACAGAGCACAATAAACTTGGATACTGACTGAAGTCTCTATTTTACATTTCAAACTGGAAAATTCCAAACTGCCCATTCCCAAGTTTACAGTGTCACCCTGACCAATTTTAAAAGTGACACAGTGCCGAGGCCTGACAATAATAACACTGCTTTCTGTTGAGAGCATATACAACAAAACCATATTGCTCTGATGTCTCTTATATTCTTCCTAGGAGAATTCTAAACTTTTAATTTTAAAAAATATAAATACCTATGATGTAATTATTACTTTCTGATCTCTTTTACAACAATTTCCATCTGTTAAAAGATACAAAGGACCATTTACCTAGAAACTACAATAACATATACAGGACCCTCTCCAAAGCAGTTTGCACGGAAATTAAATATATTAGATGTTAAAATCTGGCAGAAAGATGTAGCTTTCCTAAAGTAACAGAGTATACACATGTTGATTTTGTGGCAATCCTTGGAAATATCTTAGTAATAATTAACCTAGAAATGAAAGCCTACCCATTTTCTTACAAAGAAAAAAAAAGTGACACAAAATAATGTACCTTAAATTGGTAGCATACACAAGATTATTTTCTTAGCCTTAAGGTGGAAAGGCCAAGTCACTGAAATAAGATAATACAGAGAAAACATAAAAGCCCATTAATTTCAGAATGTTGGAGGGAAAAGCCCTGGCCAGTGTGGCTCAGTTGGTTGGAGTGTCGTCCCAAAAGGTGTTGGGTTCGATTCCCAGTCAGGGCACATCCCTAATCCAGGTTGGGGCAAGTATGGAAGGCAATTTATCTATGTTTCACTCTCGCTCTTGCTCCCGCTCCCCCCCACTTCCTCTTTCTGAAATCAATGGGGGAAAAATAAACTGGGGCGGGTGTCGGGTGAAGAGGGGGGTCAGTGGGGGAAAAAAGGACAACTGTAGCACTTTCAACAATAAAGATAAATTGGTGGGGGGGAGAATGTTGGAGGGAAAAAGTAAAAAGAGCCCAGTTTTTAGACAGGTACACGTAATTTAAATTAAAATATAAAATGGGCTTTGAACCCTACATTGTTTCCCAAGAAAATAAGTTTTGAAAGTGCAGAGTTACACCTTAAGAGATTCCTTTTTCACCTCAAGAAGCAAACACAATCCAAAAACATATCTGACTAAAGAAACAAGGTAAGATTAGAAATCACACATCTCATCCTTCATTATCAGGGCTTGGCTTCCAACCTGGACATTTCTGAGTGGGATATGTTGCAAAACAATATTAAATAAGGGTGCTGGATCCAAGTTACACCTTAAAAAAAAAAGGTCCAAGGACAGCTGCCAATTTTTGTCTTGAAAGAAATGCTCAGTAACTTCTTCAAGGAAGGTTACCTATGAAGACAAAAACTAACTTTAATCACTCTCTAGGATCTTATAATCATCAATGAGGTAGTTAACCTTTTATGCTACTAACTCTTTAAGAATATCAAATATCTTACAAGAATATTTGGTCTCAATTATAAAAGGAAGTGAAAAAAAAAGGGTTCTGACTAGATGGCATCTGAGTAAAAAACAATGGGCAGCCCAAGCTGGTTTGGCTCAGTAGATAAAGCGTAGGCGTGTGGACTAAAGAGTCCCAGGTTCGATTCTGATCAAGGGCACATGTCCAGGTTGCGGGCTCAATCCCCAGTAGGGGGCGGGCATGGGGCAGCTAATTCTCTCTCATCACAGAAATCAATAAAAATATATTAAAAACAACAAATCAATAGGCACCTTGTCATCTACCTTACCCCCTTGTGGTTTTTGATGTTAATAAAATGAATCCAGATGGGGAATTGCGATTTTCCTGATGCTATTAATCTTTACTTATTAAATCCTTAGTGATATTCAGTTCTGTGAAACCCTTCTTCGAAAATGATAAATGTCTTCAAACAAAAGTTTTTGGAAATATTTACCTGGAAGTCAAGGCTATTATTTTAACACAAAAGCTTAAACAAAATCTTTACTTATTTCTATTCTTCCTTTTTAAAAGAAGTTACTTGTCAGTGCTTTCCAATTTTTTAATCATGAACATGTGGTGTTATTCTTAATATTACTTTTGTAATCAAAGTACAGAACAGCAATTTACTTAATTAGCAAAGTGTAACAAAATTAACATCTCTTTAAGGTTATCTGTATCTATAAACGCCTAAGCGACCAGTTGACTGTTAGCTATGATGTGTACTGACCACCAGGGGGAAGACGCTCAACGCAAAGGCGTGGAAACATGGAACAGACTGATGAATCTCAGAGGGAATGGGAGAGGGGGGGGGGCGGGAAGAGATTAACCAAATATCTTACATGCATACTAGAGGCCGGGTGCACCCATGCACCCGTGGGGTCCCTAGGCCTGGCCTGCAGGGATCGGGCCAAAACCATCAGTCTGACATCCCCCAAGGGGTCCAGGATTGCGAGAGGGTGCAGGCCAGGCCGAGGGACTCCACCAGTGCACGGACCTCTCATACTATAAGAGATTTTGTAACTAAGTTAAAAATCCTTCTTGTATTCCTCTTCAACATGCTGTCACTATATACAGGGTGTCCCAAAAACACGTATACACACTTTAACAGCTGCTAACTCACTTAATTTCACTCCTTTTCAGGTTTAACTGATTTGAAATAATGGGTGAAACCAGGCTAAGCTCTGAACAAAGAAAATTTATGCACTAGACATTTTTTGGGGATACATAAAAGATAAAGCTACGGTACAAAACCATCAATAGCTGATGAACTGAGGCACACAAATGCCGAACAAAATGATTCTTGATGTTTGGGATTCCATTGCTTCGCGTTATCAGTAGTGCCTGGACCAGAACGGTCATCAGGTTTGAAAACAGGCATTGACAAAAAAATTATTCATTTCTGTAGATTCTTGTACATTTTGAAAATGAACTGTTATGTTAACAAACACTGACTTTATAATCATTCAAAGTGTGTATACATTTTTGGGGGATACTCCATAGGTGTCACCCATATGGTATCAGTGATATATGGAATCTTAAAAAAAAAAAAGA